GGTTTGCTGCGTTTTCGTGAAAACTAACTTTAGGACTTGGAACCAAACCGTCCTTATCTAATATTTCCACCTTAGCTGTTTCATTAAAATTTGCTTCGCAAAGACTTTTTATTTCTTCCCTTTGTAAAATATTAATAAATCTATTTTATCGATTATATTATAGATTAAATTATTAAGTTTTATTAAATTATTTTAAATTTTATTTTTAAATTTAATAGAAGTTTAATAAATATAATAAATATATATTCTCAATAATTAATATTACTTGATAAATCGCAATTTGTTGTGTTGATTTTTGATAAAATCGATAAGAGAATAGAAATTGTTAATAATTTATCCAATAAATCATTGCCATCGCTATATCCTTCTTTATTACTTTTATTGAAATGAATTTTATTGATAAAAAATATCAATAAGAATAATCATAAAATATAAATAAAAAAAAATATAAATAAAAAAATATTTCAATGAACTAAAGGATTTTTTCATAATTCTACCATTTCTCGAATATTCTCTTTTAAATTTGTTTGCTTTACTTTCATATATGATTATTTATTAAAAGAAGCTTCATTAAATATTATCTTCTAAGATTTTCTCATTCCTTTTCCAAAAGCTGATAATAATTCTAATTTGGCTTGTACGAATGATTATTAGAATTGCGGAATTTTAATAAAAATTAATTAATTTTTACAAATTTTAATAATTTTAATAAAAAATAAGTCATCGCTTTTAGTTCATTTTCATTGAATTAAAACGCATAAATAACATTAAAGAAAGCTCTTTTGAATTCTTTTGAATTCTTTTAAAAATATTAAACATGGTCAAATAATATTTTTATAATTATACTAATATTTTTCCATTAAAATTTATTGCATCCAAATTATCAAAAAATGATAACGAATTGATATTATACGAATTTTTTTATACGAATTTTTAAAATTGAAATTTTGATTAAAATTTTGCAATAGATTTTTCTCGTTTTATTTCTCGTTTTTCATATTTATTTTATTTCATATTTTATTATCTCTTTTTTTTTAAAAAAAAGAAAACATTCAAATCAATTATAAATATGAATTTTTTTTCGATTAATATCATTCTAATATTATAATTCGAAAAATTTTTGTTCATTTCGTTGCAAAAAAACGATTTGTATTATTATTAATTATTATTCACAGTGAGAATTCGAAATAATTTATACGTTTAGAAAACTTCGATAAAATAATTAATGCGAAATATTACTGGTTTTTTCTTCCGGTTTTAAAATATATTGTTTTGACTATATTAATTATATTTGATTATTATATTTATTTTATTATTATATTTTATTATTATTATATTTATATATTATATTTCATTATTATTAAATATATTAATTATTATTAAATGATTATAAAAATAAGATTTATAAGATTTATTTTTATTTTATTTTAATTGGTAGATTGTCGCGTTTTTATAAAAAGAACGATGAATGAAATAATGTAAAATTTTATATTTTATATTTTAAATTGCTTTACTTCATTTTATAACTAAAAGTCGTCAATATTTTGATGTATTTTTTTGCGATAAAAATTATAGAAATAAAATGAAATATGTTTTTAGTTCAAAATTCAAGGACAATAATTACAGTTATATGGAAACTTCAGTTTTTTTTTTAAATTTTTCCTCATAAAATATTTTTAAAAAAAGTTTTTTAAAGAAAATTTTCAATTCTATGAAAATAGTTTTTCTTCTATCCTACGAAAGCTTCTTACAACGGATAATATTCTTTTTTTCGATTTCATCTCTAAAGTCCGAAAGGTTTTTATACTTTTTTATCGTTCTTCTTGTTACCGTATTCTGTATTTATTTCGTGCCAGAACGAATCGGTTTTTTAATGCTATTTTCAGCTAAAATAATGCGCAAAGTCTTAATAGGCTTTTATCACCATTATCACCATTCAGATGAAAATACATCTTTGAAAATTTTAACAACCTTACTAATACTAATCACCATACTAATCACATAGAATTTTTCTACAAAAGAAGTGGATTTTATATTTTATTGGAAATATTTGCATATTATTCTAAGGAATATTTAATATTATCGTTTTTGGATTTAAATGATAGATAATCTTGTAATAACAAAAAATAGTCAAACAAAAGAGACGAGGAATAGAGGGGAAATTTTTTAATAAGTAAAATTTTTCTTGTGCAAACAAATCTCTCTTCTGGATTGAATCAAAAATGAAAAATTATTTTTTATTATAGTAGGAATTTATGGTTGGTTCGATATTTTACGCTTTAATTATCTAGAGCAAATCAAAATATGTAATATAGCCCATATAACCCAATTACTAGTTCCCCAATGTTCAGTGGAACCAGTCAGATGGAGAACTGGTCAGTTCTATTAATGAACTTAAAGAAATCATGCGTCTTTGATGAAAATTTACCTTACTAAGTCAAAGGAAATATGCTTGGGTTTTAGTTAGCATCGATTTCTCGCACATAAGGAAATAGGCAATATATTTGCCATTTATTGCTTTTGCTTTCAGTATTTTTAATTTCAAAATTTAGTATTCTTTTCGGAATCTTAAAATTGCTGCAATTCAGTCAGCTGAATATTATTAGGAAGTCAAATAACCGAAGAGCTTCAACCGCCACAACTTCCAATTTTTAGTTCTTTCTACATAGGAAAAAAAGGAAAAAGGACGAAGCATACTAGTAGTAAAGTGCACTAGGATATCTGCTATTGCTATCATTAGGAAATAATCTCCAAATCCATTTTATTACGAAAAAGTATTATTGTCTATATTGTTCTATTGTCTATATGATGAATGAATAAATGGTTATATATAATTCGTTAAGAACTTAGACCATGGAAAAAAGAATGGCTTCTATTGTTGTCGACGATGGCATCAGATTGCGCCGCTTGGAAGCGTCATATGTAGCCAAACCAGTTGGAACCAGCTTAACCAGTAATAGTGAGAGCTGTTAGAGGAAGAAGATGATGATGGGGAATAAATGGTATAATTCGTTAAGAACTGCTGATATCTGACATGTAGTTAAGTTACCTGGTCAAGCTATCACATCACATTTAATTTTTTATATTTACAATATAGATTAAATAAAAGCCATAGTCTTATCATGTGATAATGAAAAAGCACTGCAAAAAAATATCTACGAATGAATTCAGCGAGGAAATTTCATCACATCCGTATAACGCTCATATTGCTCCTTCTTAACGCCATTTGTTTTTCAAATCTTAATCACTGCAATATAATTTAACTGCGAGAAAATCTCGTTCTTTTGAAGATGTAAAAAAAAAATGGCTTTGAGGAATTTCTTCTAAAAGGAATTTACAACTTATAACTTAGTTTCTGCAAAAAATTTATAGAAAATGATGAAGAATATATAATTCATTCACTAACAATGTCTTCTCGTATATTGCATGCAAAACTAATGAAGTAACGCAAATTTGCATAAATTTAAAAATCGACTGATCGAATATTGGCACAAAAACATCTTTTCGCATTTCGCATTTCACACTGAGTTCTTATTTATTAATTTTTATTATGTGCTAAAGCGGTATACATTTCGCTCAAATATTATCTTCGGTTATTATTTATTATTTTTCAAACTTCGCGTTTTTTTTTTATGGATAAATTTAAATTTATTTATTAATAAAAAAAAAAAAAGATATTAATTTCAACCACTTCGCTGATGGGTTTTATCATTTTTTTGAATTGCCTTTTTGCTAATATTTTATTAATAAATTCTTCTTCTTCTTCTAACAGTTTAAACATTACTGATTGGGCTGACTCCCCTGGCTACAAGGGTAAGACATCTGCTCCGTCCAACGTCATTGCTAGTAGTAATAGAAGCCATTCGTTTTCCATCGTCTATGTCCATATATCGCTGGTTCCTTATACGTTCAAAATCTTTCCTGATTGTATCAGTCCAAGGTTTGACTGGTCGTCCTCGCCTTTGACGCCAACCAAAATACAGAATTTAGCAAATAATGAAATACGCATCAATGAGAATGAGAATGATGGAGAACCCTAACTAGCGAAGGGGACCTTTATGATAACATTATTAATAGAGGGGTTATTTGAACCGGGATGGATACAGTCATAAGAGATTTTATCCTTTTGGCAGATCCGTAAAATGTATCTTAGAGATAAATGGTTAAAGGCTAATAGCTTCTTAATATCTCGCAGTCTTATTGGCCATGTTTCATCGCCATATAGCAAGATCGAGCGAACTGAGCGAATTATATTCAATTATTATTGACGCGAATTTTATGATGATTTCCCGACGCTTCCATAAAAATATCGTCGACAGAAAAAACACTGTCGTTAGCTGTCGTTTTAGCTGTCGTTATCCAGGTTACAATTTCATCCTTTGCCTGCTCATTCGGGATTAGAGTGGATCTAATGTTTTAAAGTCATTTAAGGCATTTCCTCAGCCGATAATGAATTGATAAAAATAGGTATTTTATTAAAATAGATAATCGCTTCTTATATATGACGAAAATATTTTTGTTGATTCTAAGTCCAATTCTCCCTGCAGTTGTTGGCACATTGTTCAGCATTGTTTGCATTTCATTTTTTTAATAAATTAACCTTATATAATTCGAACATTACCTATTTTGTTGAGCATTTTAGCCTAAATTTCTTGCGAACAAAAAAAAGATATCCAATATTTCATCAGAAAACAAGGAAGAAGTTTAGGACGAGAATAATTAAGCTTGAATTTTTTATGCACATTATTTCCTCTTTCAATAAAATTCTTGTTTTTTCACTATTTTCACTATTTAGTTATAGTTATTTAGTTATAAAATGTCATCATTCGCTATCCTGAAGCTTAAATGAAAAATGCTTATCATATTAAATGCTTATCATATCAGTGCATTTTATCCTATTTCTAAAAATTTTTTTGTTAACTGACGAGTACTTTTGCCAATATCATTTTATTAAGTGAATTAGTTGAAAATTTTTTTTAGCAGCAGAAGCAGCACAACCAATGCACCACAGTACACCAAAGGCATTTAATGAAAATGTATTACAAAGACGACGTGGTGCAATAAAACATGCTCGAGTTCATGAAATACGCGGTCATCACTTTGTTGCAACGTTTTTTCGACAACCAACATTCTGCTCATTATGTTCTGATTTCATATGGTTGGAATTTTTTCGTAATTTACAACGTATTTAAATTGTTGAATTATTTGTTGATTAATGATTTTATTTTAACAAACGTGATTAGTTTAGTTTAAAAATTTTAATATTTTTTTTTACATGGGGCAAAATTGTTGAAATAAAGGGAAATATTTATCAATTTTTTATATTATCAATTTTTATTTTATTTTTATATTTTTAATATTTTTTATAAATTGAATGAATAAGAAAAACAAAAAAAATTATAATTTCGTAATGTTGCTCATCGAATGAGATAAAATATAAATTAATGAAAAATTGTTATAAAAAGTTGGGAAAATCGCTTTAAATACTTATTTTTTAGGGGATTTAGAAAGCAAGGTTATCAGTGTCAATTGTGTAGTGCTGCTGTACATAAAAGATGCCACGAAAAAATGTTAAGCCAATGTCCTGGATCTGCAAAAAATACAAAAGAAACAATCGTATCAATCTTTTGTTTTTTTTTCTATAAAAATTTATTAAAAATAAATAATAAAATCTTTAATTTTGTTCAAAAGCCTAAGATTATTATAATATTTAGAATATTTATTTATTATTCATTTATAAAAATCATTTAAATAATTTAGTATTTAAAAGAGCGCTTCAAAATTGATGTACCGCATCGATTTAAATCTTATAATTATAAAAGTCCAACATTTTGTGATCAATGTGGATCACTGCTCTATGGCTTATGTAGGCAAGGCCTCAGATGTGAAGGTGCATTTTTATTTTTCAACTTTATTTGATTTTTTATTCATTTATTCAAACTTTTTTCACTGATAAAATGATAAATCTTCATGATAAATCTTCATCTTCATGATTATCTTCATGTTTTAAACAATAAAATTATCTTGAAAATTGGGAAATATAAATTAAGCGATTTGATAAGCGATTAAATTAAGCGTTTGTAACACGCTTATAATAAAAGCTTCAAAATAATGAAAACTATATTTTGAATTAAAAATTTTTGAAATTATCGAGTGTTTGTATTTAAGTTTGTGGTGTTTCTTGTCATCACCGATGCCAAAAATATATGCCAAATTTATGTGGCGTTAATCAAAAGCAACTCTCAGAGGCACTATTTGAAATCAAGCAAGGCCCTCACAGTCAAACAAGGGTTTAATTTTCTATGAACTATGTTCCTAAGAACCATGATTGAACTAATTTTTTTGGTATGTCAATAAAATGTAATGAAAAAATAAACATTTCGGCAAAACTCCTTAAATTTTTTTCAGAATTTTCAGTAAAAAATGATATCTCCAGTTTTCTCCAATTTTCCAATTCGTTAATTTTCATCAAAATCTTATAAAATAGAGATTTTACCATAATTGAAAATTTAGCCTTAAATTATATAGTTTGACTGCCTTTCGGGAGGTCATTAAAATTTATAAGTGAATTTAACAAATAAAATAATAATTGAAAAATAATAATTGTTTTCTAAAGCTCATTCGAAAAAAAATATGAATTTGAGGAAATGAAATAAAATATGAAAAATAAAAAACAAAATCGAGAAATTAATATGCGACACCTTGATGAAATTATGAAAAATTATGGTTCTAATAAAAACTATCTCTTATCAACTTCCTCTTCATTGATCGTCGATTGATTGATAATTTGTTGATAAGGCAAACTGGTAGTTTGAATCCATTTTTTATTTTTACGATCCTATAATATAGATTTCTTTTCCTTTTCCTTTTTACTTTCGCCCTTTCGGGTTGATAGTCAGTTAAGTTATTAAATTATTAAATTCATTTAGAGAATAAAGTAAGCTGAAAATAATTACAATGATTTAATTTTTTTTTATTATTCTTTATTCTTTATTATTATTATTCTAAAAAGGAATCCCAGAAAACGATGCGCGTTTCCAAGAAATATTTTTATATTTATATTGCATATTGCTTTTCATTTTTTTTTATTTAATAAAAATTTAATTGAAATAAAGCAATATTTTCACTTTCAAAAAATCCTTTCTTTCTTCATAAATTCATCTAAAAGAATCGATTTTGACTTTGATAAATGGTAAATTTTGCCTTTACGGCAAATTGCTTTAAAGCCATAAAGCTTATAAAAGGAAAAGAAATATATAAAAGCAACAATAATGCAGCAGTTATTAATTATAAAAATCTTAAAATTCGCAACTGCCAACACAATTCAAGGAAAATCCCTAATTAGTTATGATTCTGATAAATAAAAACCAATTTTTTTTTGAAATCAGTAATAAGTAGCAAAAATGTTGAGAAAGTATTTCTAATTTTTCTATTTTAAAGAATAAATATTTTTATTTGATTTTCGTTGGCTTTTTATTAATTTTATTTAAAAAAATTAAAGAAAATTCCAGAATCGATGAAAAAAAAATGGAAATTATTCAATAAATGAATTAATTTGAAAGTATTTTTTTAACAGAGCATTCGTCTGATAAATTAGAAAATACAAAAAAACATTTTGATTTTTTGATTTTAATTGCTTTCCAAAAGGAAAATATTTATGTACGTCGAGTTTCGTCGAGGGATAGCACCCTCTCGCGATATCCAAAAAATCCCGTGCCATTAATAATCTTTTAAAATAACCAATAGCCTTTCAATAACCAAAATAGTGTACTCGGTAAGATTGTTTCATACCAGAAACAATATCAGAGAACAACACCTCTGTCATTTTATTAGCAACAGCAAATCCTCAATCCTAGGCATCTGGTGGAGAACCAGAGATTGAGAGCGATCCGTACTAAAAATTCTATACTAGATATTTATACTAGTAGAATATTTCTAATGAAGACTTTACAAATTTTTTGAAGAAGGAATACTTCTGCTTTTGGTTTAACTTTGATTCTCGAAGCTGTGTGCGAAATAATATATGAAGGTTTTATTAAATATAATTGAAAAATTATTCAAAGATTTTTGACGTAATGTTGTAAGTTTACAAGTAATAATAAATAATAAATTATAATAAAAATTGTTTTGTTAATTTTTGTAAAAAATATTTTTATTTTTTTCTTATATAAAACGAAAAGTTGCAACAATTTTCTCAACATATAATATAGATTTATAGATTAAATTTTTTAAACATTTCTTATTTTTATCAGAAAGATTTATTTATTAAACATAAATTTTCTCTAATTGAAAATATAGTTTTATTTCAGCGATCTTTATATGCACATCTAATTTTATATCATTCGTTCCTCAAAAATTCATGCAACGCTTCATACTTTCCCACTCATTCCTTTTTTGCCAAACCCCACTGTATCCTAAAAATCGAGAATAACGTATTTTCAATTTCTCTTAAATTTTCTCTTTCTTTGGCCTTTCCTTTCCACATCTTTTCTCGCTCCTCTTTCAACTCTTTGGTATTTCTCTAAATTTTCATATTCCTTCCTTCTAACATTCCTGTTACTTGGTATCGCAGTGTCCATCACCAGTGCCCATCACCAATTGATTTATGATTCTTGTCCATCGCTATGATACTGGTTCATTGGTCAGTACTTGTTTATCTGGATGGATGGGGAAGTCCCACAGAATTTTCGCCTTATTGTTGTCTATGAACCTCTTATTTAGTCTTGAGAGGACCTAAGCCAAACCTAAGAAGATTTCTCTATAAAGAAAGCCAGCAATTTGATTATGTCCTTCAATACATGTTGTTCCTGCTTGAATCTCACATCCTGCTACCATGTGTTGGACTATCTCCAAGGGACTATTTTTGCACAGTCTGCATCTAGAATCTGCTTGATCGTTTTCCATGTCTGTATCCGTTTGATTGTTTGTAAATGCTTCAGGCATTCTCTCAGCATGCTTTGGTGCCATTGTTGATATATATTTCTGAATGCTTTGAGTTTCGTTCAGGACAGTGGTTCACCAAAATCCGGCTTGTCTTTTTTCCAGTCTTTAAAAATTTTAAAAAACTTTTCCGATAAATTATGTTAGTCTAATTTATTTCCCAGTTTTTTTTATCTTATTGGGAATTTTCCTGTACCAGTAAAAAAAATTTTGTTTGATACTGTTCAATTATTTTAAATGAGTTTTTTAAATAGTTCAATGCTTCTAATGTACCTTTAATATTTAATATTAATATTTAATACACTTTACGAGAGGATTATTTTTATTATCGGATGCCTATAGAACATAGAAAAAGTTTCTTAAACATGTCAATGGTTCTTTTGTAAATAATGGCAAGGTCAAACATGAATCGCATATGTTGAGAACGTCAATCACCGCTCACTTGCTGGTTATTACTGGTTAAACTTGTCAAAGCATATAAATATTAAGGAATCATTTGGCTATAGAAATAAAGATAGGATCAGCAGCATTTCTGAAGGATAGATTTGCTTATTGCGCCTTCATTGCGCTCAAAACTGAGTAACAAAAGCTCGTCGAACTATTCTACTTTCTATGCTGATAATTTTCTATCAGTTTGCTGATAATTTTATTGATAAAATTCATTTCTCGCTTTACTTATATAAGTCTCTTTAAAAATAGATTTAATTAGTTTCACGGGGATTATTTTACTTTTCCTATCATCGCCGAAGAGTAGAGCAGCCATCGTTTTGTCATTCACATTTCAATGATTTCAATGGTTTACTTTTCTCACTGAGCAGAAATCGAGCATAAGATAATCTCTGTGGAAATTGTAATTGTAATTGTAATTGTATATTTGACAATATTATTTGCTATTTTATTCTTTTAATTTGCCTTTTTTGAAAAAAAATGGCTATAAAATGAAATTTTTATTGAAATAACCGAAAAAAAATTTTTTTATCTTTTCCTCAGTGATTTTTTATATTAATTTTTTTTATAATAAATTCTTTTTATTTACGATTTATGGTTAACCGCAGTGAAATTTAATTTAAACGCCTTTCAATTTTACTACCTTCTAGTAGTTCGATTTTTCTAGCAAACCTGGAAAGCGTTTATTATTTGATTATTACCCCTTATATGCTGAATAATTTATTCAACAATTAATTGTCTGATATTTTGCTTATAATTACTTTCATATATTTTATTTGTATATTATACTATTTATTTATTATTTATATATTATTTATATATTATATTATTTATATTATTTATTATTATTATTTATTATTATTTATTATTATTCATTATTATATTATTATATTATATTACCTACATATTATTCGATATATTGCTTATTTTTATAATTACTTATAGTCGTTTTATTCTTAAAATATAACACTTTTATTTTCTTGCTTATTATACTAATTTTATGCACAAACATGCATTCTTATAGCCCTGAATGATATCAATAAATAAATAAAATCGTATAATAATTCCTTGCAAATATAGAAAAGAATTTTATAAATTCTGATTGATTTCAGTGCATGGTTGCCACTGAGAATCTGTACAGTTAATTGGACCACAGTTACGAGTTCTAACTCGTACGGTTTGCCCATTAACTCCATATATACATTCACTCCAATTGGACCATTCAGGATTTTTGATGCTCGCTGAAAAATTATTTTTTTATGATTGGAGTAGTATGAGAATATGTCATCGATGAAATATTTAACTAGGATGAATGCAAGGTGGATGCTGGAAATCTATCCCCAATTATCCCAGGTTTACCAACTTGTGCCAAAAGAGGTTGTATAAATGCAACCAGTGGGACTAGCCATTTAATTAGAAATAGTAAGCTAGACGATGGCAATATACATGTATGATGATACTCTTTATTGCAATTATTTTCGACAACAAAAGAATCGTGAACTTCTTCCATAATTAGTTCTGTCCCATTGTTATGATTATCCGCATGTAATACGCATTCTCCTTGTCTATAAGTTATTGCCTGGAAATTTGATCTGGTTTTCTATTCTTTTCATACCAATTCGATGATATATTAGGGATCATCGAAAACAAAATTTATAACGATATTAACATGAAAAAATTTGCTCAAACCAAACTTGACAGTAAAAATCATTTATGCATATAGACAAGCAGTGCGCGATCGATGTGGTACTACTGGAGTAATCCACAATATTCATATTGCTCATCATTTTTGGATAAGTTGGAAACATTAATGGAGTTATGCATGAATTTTTTAACCGATCTGAAATTGCAGTAATCAAACGTTTCCCAACATTTTTAATCAGATAGGCAAACTGAATGAAGGAATCTTAAAATTTTTGCATTCATCAGCTTCAAAAAATTATTTATCCATTAATCAACGAAAAAAAAAAATTAGCTTAAAATATTATTAGAAACACGATTGTTCATTATTAATATTCTTGTATTATTTACATTGAGAAAATAAAAAATAACTTTGGAGACAAATTTTATTTGAGAAGATAAATTCTCCATTTTTGACAATTGCTGTAGAGCTGCTTTTCCACTGCACATCTTTCCCATAGAGATAGCATTCTTCGCTATCCTTTTTATAATTCGTTGAAAAACAAGCGAATTTGCCGCCATCCGCTTTCTAAATATGATAGCTTATCAATTAACTGATAGAAGCATAGAAAAAAGGATAGCAATAGTGCATTAATAAATATTATATTATATATATTATTGTATTGAAAATATCATTTCTTGTAAAAAAATATGGTTTTTTTCTTATTTGATTCTACAATATAATAGGTGATAGGATGGATTAATGGGTTGAAGCTCAATTCACCACAGGTAGAGCGCCGATACCAAGGTTCTATTCACCGCAGGAGTCAACCCGTCCAAAAAACCGAGCGATGCTGGCGACTCACTTGTATTTCTATCGCCAAAGGATTCCTGGCATATTTGTCCAGTGCGACAAGCCAGCGAAACGAACTTTAACCAATAATGATGAAATTTCTTAAGAAAAAAAAGTATATTAAAGGCTCTTCATTGTAGCGTACTATATTTTGAGTGCAGTAGGTATTGCAAACAAGTTGATCTATTCCAATCAGTTTTATCGGCACTGATGTGGTAATCGCTTGAAAATCATGGAACAACAAGTAGCCAACATCTTCTTGTGCATCACATTCAGCTGAAATCATAATTCATGGGGAGAAATATCAATTATTTTTTTTCAAATGGAACTAAAGTCAGTACTTTTAAATTAATTTATATGTACGTTATTTTATGCTTGAGGTTTATTTCAGCTCATTATCTATAACTATTTTTGTCTTAAAATAGAGGAAGAAGAAATAACTGACCATTGGCTAAATTTTTATCAAATAGCACCTCCGATGATTGATTCATCAGTTCAGATGTTTTTCCATCTAATTCGCTAAATGCATTTAATGGAAAGGATCTTACAGAATATTTGTTTTTCGATGGTGGAGGTATCTCTGCAAGGAAATGCAAGGAAAATTCATTTAATATTTAATTTACCTAAAATTTAACTGTTAGCATTCTAAAATGGAAAAAGTACAACGTTGATAAGGTTGTAAAAGCAGAAATTCTATTCAATTTCCATCCCTTGTTCGAAGAAAACTCCAACACATGTAAGTGGAAATGCGAGTGGTAACTGGAGTCATCTCCTAGGCGATTTTTAAAAAACCTCTGGCGAAAGAGACTCATTCTTAAAATCAATAAAATTGTAACTTGATGCCGACAAAAGAATCTTTTTTATCAATTTTTTATCACTTACATTTTATCATTTCATTTTCACAAATTTTTATCATTTACCTTCCCAATCGCTGCATTCATTTATATAGTTGGTTCGATTGTAATAATCGTGATCTTCAACATAAACTATTTGCGATATACCTCGAGTTCCATCGTGCTCATATAATGAGCATGTTTGGAATTTTTTGTGATATACAATCGATGCGCAAAGTACCTTTCAAAAGATAATCTGCTATTGTTATTCATTTAGAAAATTCTATGAATGAATGGCAATCTTATAAAACTATTTTTGAAAAATTTTGTTGAAAAACACCAAAAAATAAGTATTGTGTAAATTATATAAAAAATAATTTAGACTGAAATAATTTTCTTTTCGCAATTTCATTTGAACTGAATGTTTTTTAAATGCTTGCTAATAGCCTCATTCATGCAAATTTCGTACCAATTTAAATATGATCGAGAAATTCAAACCCCACCATCATATAGTGAATCCACTTGTGAGATGGGATTTAAAATACCAATAATGTCTAACAAAAAATAAAAAAAATGAAAAAATTCTCAAAATTTTTACGAAAGAGGAATGAAGTATATTAAAAAATTTTAAGATAAAATTTAAAATGAGGCACTGTACATTATCATTTTGGATCGAATGTATGAGACAATGTCGTAGGCAGTCATCAACAGTAGCGTCCCACAAAACTGTTATTGGATTAGCATGCGAAATTCCTCGATGATAGGTCGGTAAAAAACATCGAGAAGCTTTCCAAACTGTGAATAGTAATTATTATTATTTGGTAAATTAATGGAAAATAAAAAAGTTGCAGCAATAACGCTACAGTTTTGTGCTATTTATTTTTGAATAATTCTAATACAATCCGTTTTTTCAGCTTGCGCAGACAAATTTCCATTAGGCTTATTTCATAGGATCATAAGGTAGGTTATTTGAACTGCTCAGATTACTATCTCGAATATCACGGCTCGGATTCTGCATCCTTTAAAAATAAGCGTATCATAAAAAATATCGAGCAATCCTATCGCTAAGCCGTGGCGATTATTAAACTTAAAGCTAGGAGGTCCTCAAATTTAACCAGGAAGTCAGAATAAAATAATAACCATTCAAAACGGCGCAGGAAGTTGATTGCGGCCTACTCGTACTTCTATCCTCAAATGATTGGTCTAACAATGGTCACACCTTCCTAACAACCAGTATAACGAGAAATGGTTACCACATAGATACTAACCACATTAACCTAGCAGATTGCTTTTCGAAATATATAATAATTTTTTAAATTAAAAGTGCATCACTGCTAAATTTTAAAGTCTAAATTTTTAGATTTTAACATTATCAAAGTTTAGTGATAGAAGCAGTTAGACCATTTTTGCATAAAAATATCACATGCATATACCCAAAATCGATGCGCATACATATATCCAAAGTCTTATAAATCGATTTTTTCTATATTTATTTATTAATTTCCATTTCATTAATAAAAAACTATGCGAAGAAAATTTTTAAAAAAATTCGATAGAAAAAAATCGCTCATCGGCCACTGATATGATATGATAAGCAATGGTATAAGCAATAAAAAAAGAATTTTAATCTTAATTTTTTAATGTTATTAAAATTATTAATTATTGTTATTAATCCAAAAAAAACAGTTAACTGTTATTATTAATTTTAAAAAAACAATATAAAATTCTTTAAAATTTCGTTCATTAACTGAAAAAATTTTTTTAAAAAAATTTTAATCTTTTTTTAGAATTTAATAAATAAATCTGATTATATGGAATATTGAAATTTATTTTTTAAAATATAATACAACAAAAAACAACCTTTATGGGAGATTGCGCTGAAGGATAACAAATAAATTATGGCAATAAAAAGAATCGTTTTGGACATTTTAGTCAGAAATGATCTTCACTTGAGTTCTTCAGCGCTTCAGCCGTATAGCAATTATCAATATTGTTTGCTGTTCATCACAGACGATTATCAGACGATTATATTAATATTATACAAAATTTCATAGATTTGTATATGTCATGAAAACAAATATAGAAATTTAAAGAATTGTTAATTTAAGCGATAAATATTTATGCAAATGACCTTGTCCACTGTATTTTTACACTTTCTTTATTATATTTATTGACATTCCTTATCGATTTTGATATCAGCGTTGATAAGCTGAATAATAGGAATACAATTCCACTTAACTTTTATCAAAAATTTAACCGAAAATTGATTTGTATACCCAACTAATTGGCAAAAAAAAATTCCCTCATAAATTTGTTTTTCAATTTTTGTTTACGGAACAAAAGAAAAAATTTAAGAATGAAATGTTAAAGCAATAACACTCATTCGTTGCTAATGCGATGTTAAAATGATTCATATCGCGTAATCTCGTTTTGATCAGTTCAATGAACGATTTCATCTATTTTAGTGTTAAAAGTTTTGATTAACATTTAATTTAATATTTTGGAAATTAGAGAAACAACAATAATGAAATATTGATAAAAAATGCAAAAATGTAAATATTGATAAAGATAAGAGAAATATTTATTTTTATAAGAATCCTGACAAAATAAAAGAAATATCACAATTTTTGTTTGATAATATGCTAAAGCAAAATTAGGCAATGTTTTTTTTATAGCGACATTTCAGAGTACTAAATTTGTTATAAAATTGAAAAATTCGTGTAAAAACTTTTATCAATTATAAGCCATATGGAAATTTATTGAAATAATAAGTTCTCAATTGTGGGAGAATTTCTGGGGAAATTTTTGGAGATTAGTATGAAAAAACACCTCTATATTTATAAAAAATTCAATTTACGCGAGGCTTCAAAAAATATTTTTGTATTATTTCAGTCAAAAAAAGCAGATTTTTTTATAAAATATATACAGCTAAATGTGTGGAAATATTACACGATTTATGGTTATACATATGAATTTCCAGATTACCATTTTCAGTCGCAGTAAATTCGCCTTCTTCAGATAAAACGAGAGTCAAAATAGTGAATCTTGGCGTGATGTCCTTGCCATCTAAAATTTACTAAATAAAATCACTAATTGAATAGAATGACTTAATTATTGGCGAAATTTATTCCCGTATATTTTGCAATTTTTTCTTTTTTTATCCAACAGCAAATGCTCTTTTAGGTCAAAAATTTTTATCACTTATCATCGACTATCATTTTTTATAATAAAGGCCTTTTTTCCGAATAGAACCTTTGACTACACGATGACCAATCGACCAGCATGTTAAGAAAATAGTATAATAATAAAATTCAAAGATTATTTTTTCTAATTTTATTTAACCAACTATAACTAAAAATCGACGCACTTTGACTAATCCAGAATTGAATTTCACCACTCGTTCTAAATTCATAAAGGAATTTTTGCCCAACTTTTATATCATATAGCAGTGTTAGAAATCGATGTGCATTTATCGACATGGACTTTTTTTCAACTTCTAATGAATATTTTTTCCAAATTGCTCCATCATTCTGAATATAAAAAATTATTCTTTAAATTCTTTAAATTAAATTAAAATTAAATTAAATTAACATCTATTTAAAAAATATTCTATTGAAGGTTTGATTATATTTTTTTATATTATCGCATAACCTTCTTGTATTAGGTGATAAAGTTTTAAGCTAAAAAATTCTTGGAAACTGACTAAAAAATCGGCGCTTATAATCGTTTTCTCCAGCATACAACCATTATCCAAGTCAGATTTAAGCGAAAAATTTCCTCCATAAGCAGTAGGAATAGCATTTAATGACAAGTAAGGTAAAAGATCGGTGGGCAAATTTTCTGCGATTGAAAAGCGATCAAGAACCTTAGCAGGAAGTAACAATGAAATAGCCTGAAAGATTTTCGCAATATGATCATTTTATCTGTCGAATATAAATCGTCCGGTGTACTAAGAAATTATCAAAATTAATAAAATAAAATTGGTAATTAATATAAACTGCATTATTCAAAAATTTTAAGATATTATTAAAAAATAAGATAATTAAAATTAATAATAATAAATAATAAATTTTTATTAAAATTAATAAAAATTAATAATAATTAAAGGATAATAATAAGTGGAAATCGCTTAATTGCATCATATCTCAAAATTTATCCATTTCGAGCTTGTTTGCATATAATTTTATCACCATTTTACCATAATTAAATTCTCGCAAAAACGGAAATTTATTGACCTTCCAGATAAGCGTCAAAACTGTTGGTGGATTAACGATGATAACCCGTTTTAAAATTTCACTATAATAATCCAACCATATCTTTATTCGTAGCTGCAAAAAAAAAATATTTATTAATTGATATATTGGTATAAAGAAGGAAAATTAAATTCTTATTATCGAAGACTATAAGAATTTTCGTTGAAGGAAGGAACTGATTGAAATAAAAAATTTAATAAATGATTATTCATTGAAAATACAAAAGTTAACTCTAATAAATAAAATATAATAAATATAATTAAAAAGGAAAATTTAAAATTATTTAGAAAAAGGAAAAAAATTTTTCTAAGAAATTTGAGAGACAATAATAAAACGATAAATAATAAAAAAATAAATATATAATAAGTTGCTGAAGCGAATTACTATGCAAATAAGAATTGCTACCCAAATTTCACATTTCACCTATAGTTAAAATATTGATGCGAAAATTATTATAGTATTGTAGTTAAATCTTTGAATATTACGATGAAATCCATAAAATCAAGTCAAGTCAGCCAAGAATGTACGAATCTTAAGGTCGAATGATAAAGACAAAGACAATTCACAAAGAATATTCATCAAGAATTACCATCAAAAGTTTGTTAATATTTCCAACTGGATTGGCATAGTTGAGGATCGCCATTCCCTTTTGATCATATATACAAATCCCATGTGATGGCTTACCAGTTTTTTTTTCACGATCCAAGACCAAACTTTGAAAGAATTCGCAGTAACCAAAGAAAATTTTCAAATATTCGCCTACTCTAATGATTTTCAGGAACTAAAAAACATGAACAAATATTTATATTATTATATTATATTATGATCTTCGAAATGGGAAAAAAAAAGACTAAATGGAAAAAAATACTTTAAGAAACATATTTTTTTGATTGAAGTTCCTACTTTTTTTGGATTTCGCAATGGCATTTCCACAAAAATGATGCCATTATCGGATTCATTAACCCATTCACTTGTTAAATGAGAGTGTGTAAAATATTGATTATATTTTTGCACCTCAGGCCGTTCATAAAAATTTTCAACTACGCTTGGCACATCATAACTGTAATATTTGTTAAAGAAACTGGTTAAAGAAAGAGTGGCGCAAAACAAAAGAAAACAAATGGTTGTTAGCATTGATCACTTTTTGAGTACCAAAAGAAACCATTGGCGAATCAGAAAAAAAGTATTAGAAATTTACCCAAGGCAAGTGCGAATTTTTAAATATTCCAAGAATTTTTGAGAGCAAACATTGATATCCTAAAAATGAACTTTGAAAATTTTCATAATGTGAGGATAAATATTTTAATCTCGCAAAAGTCTTTAAAAAAATTTACGATAGGTATTTTTTTACAAAAGTCGACGAAACCTACTTTCTTTTCTTCAGATTAGTGCAAAAAAGTTTTATGACGTAATTATTAGGAAGAATCCACGTATAGATACAGAATAACAGAAGTATAATATAAAGTCATTATAGTTTTCTTAAGATTAAAATCAGACACCATAAATTGTTGACAATTGACGTGGTGACTGGCATTAGGTGACTTATCAACGAGAGTGGAATTCTGGTGTTGTAGGAGTCTACCTACACTTTTCTTTATTCCTAAGTAAATATTGGGCATATATTAATAGATGGTGGGGCAAATGAAACCAGAAATGATGAATATTAAAAAAATATGAAAAAAGCCATATCGCCAAATTCCTATGAATGCAAATGCAAATGGATAGTGTATCTTAAAAATTAAAAGAATCTTACATTAAAACAATCTTACTTGGTGTGATAAACTAAGCGAAACAGGTAAAAAAGTGTACTAAATGAAATACCGGATATTTTTACAAAATAATACATTGTCGTATGCTTTGAGCCATCGCGATAGATGAAGATCGGTATCCAATTCCTTCGGAATTTTTGCATCAAGTGCAGTTCTCAGCGCTGATAAATTTTCAATGGAAGCCATACAATCAAACATCACAATTTTCGCTTTTTTCAAAAAAAAAAGAATTTTTGAATTTTTATAAAAGATCTCTGAAATAAAAAAAATATGCAGTCGAAGCAAATATATTACTGTGTAATACAACTTTTATGAACTTTGCTGAGAAAAAACATGGCACAAAATAAAATTTGAAATATATAAAATAAATAAACGTGATGGTTGCTTGCAGATTTTTTATCCCAAAACAGCAATAACTCGCTAATGAATGGATAGTCTAAATGCGTTAGTAAATACCTTTGTCTTTGCCTAAACGCCTACCATGGAATTTTATGTTAGAAGAAGAAAAAGTAAAAAAAGGATAAATTCGATTATAGGAAAATAAATAGGAGCATAAAAAACATAAAGCTTGAACAAAAACAAAGCAGAATTAAAATAACGTATCACAAAAATAATTTACAAAATCTTGCCGAGAAAAATGTGATAAATGTGATAAAATGTGATAAATGTGATAAATAAATATTTTAATGAGTATTATTGGTATTATTTATGTATGTCAAATATGTGGGCAATTAGTAAGGTAACCGAGCTGGTACAATAAGCGAATTATGGCATTTATGGTTCTAAATTTCTTAATAAAAAATTACTTCTTAATAAAAAAAATTTGACCTATTTGAATGAAAACCTAAAATTTCATTTAGATAGAAATTTTCTGAAATGAAATAAATTTTCAATTTATATCGATTTATAACAATGATCAATAAACTAAAAAATTTGTGAAATAGAAAAGACAATATATTTTCGTCTAAGTAAAAAAATTCTAAAACTTCGCATAAGACATTTTTCTTTCAGCATTTTTCCATTAAATATTTTTAGAACTTCGAAATTATTGAAGTATTAATCAAAAATCAAAAGAGCATTTTGTCATCACTTTTTTAAAAATCATTTCTCTATTATCTATCATTTTTATCGTTATCAGATAAAAATATAAAAAATAAAGAAAATAAACGCTACAAAAATTATAGACCATTTTGCAAAATAGTGCACATATTATCTCAAAATTTTAATTATTTTAAAGTTCTTCTAGGAAATCAGAAATGTTTTATGGCATATGCTAGCAATCCTAATTGATAAATACTTTTTCACTAAATGATAAATATTTTTCATTAAATTAACGAAGAGTAGAAAACTGAAAAAAAAAAACTTACGCAAATTACTTTAAAAAAACTTTAACATAAATTCATTTTGCAATAAAAATATTCACTTAGAAAGAGGTGGTGTTGCATAAAAGTTACCTATTTATAATAATAATAAAAACAATGATGAAAAAGAAGGAAAATTAACAATTCGTAATGAAAATTTAAAGAAAGAATGGAAAATGAAATGACCCACATTTCCATTCCAATTTCGATTTAACATTTTGGTACGAAAATATTGAATTTAGAAAAAGGAAATTGATTTTCAAGCTATTTATTTATTTATTTCTTTTATTTATTTATTTTTATTTTTAAATTATTTAGAAAAATATAACAATTTAGATATTTATAATTTGGATATTTGTATTTTATATTTTCTTTTATAGGTAATTCCATCTTAAAAGATTAAAAAAATTGCAAATATTTCTTCAAATGTTCCATGTTTCGTGTGGTTAGAAATAAAAATATTAGGTAATAATTTTTTTGCCCTTAGAAACATTTTAATAAATGAGTTTTTTTTAGACATAAATATACTATAAATAATATAAATAAATATAATATAAATAATTAAGAGATCTAGAATGTTGCTAGGACTCTTTCTGAGAGTGGTGCAGTTTCACCGCTCTATTCTTTCATCGCCAAATGAATTGCTGGTGAAAATTTTTGGTTTGACAAGTCAGCGTAATGAGTCGAGCCAGAAATAATGAGTAGTCTTTAAAAAAAAATTAATTAAAATACTAATTGTAGAAGAAGGAAAATGATGGCATTATTTAGATATTAAATTCGATTAATACAAACAAACATATAAGATTATCGAGCAGTGCATTTGATTCACCTAAGGCATCAACATCAGTATTTTGATAATAATAAACCTTATCACTGATTTTGAATTAGCTAGCGGAATAGCCAGTGGAAATTAATCGACATCTCTTCCTCAAGTGTTTTCCGAACGAAAAGAGCTAGAAATCAGTGTATATGCTAATTTGGGCCAAAAATCTTTAAACCAGTAATTTTTCTTATTCACTTCCTTACATTATTATCGTATATGAAAGCAATAGCTTTATTTCTCATAAGAATAGGCAAAGCGAAGGTTTATAATATAATAACAACAAATACGATAGGATGGTACTTGTTAGATCGCACAGATTTTGATCTATTTGACGATAGTAGAAATGATTCATCAGAATTCATAGTCTTTTGATGCTTCATTGGAAAAAAGTGATTAAAATGATCGAAATATTGAAAATATGCTGAAGACAGAATCATTTATCAGTTAATCAAACATAAACATGGATTATTAAAGAATGGATTAAATTTATTCTCTATTCAAAAGTTTTATAAAACACGAAGAGATAAAACAGCGGAAGTTTTGAAACTTGCAAACTTAATTTGAACACCAACTCGGATAGGAAGAAATATGTGAAAAATGTGGTTGATTTAGGATTTATTTATTTATTTATTGAAAACCAGTCAAACAGGGCACAAACGCCATGTACTTCTATTGATAACAACAGTTAAAATAACAAATAATATGAATTAATGACAAAAAAAAGTAAAAATAAAATAAAAAATTTAAAGATGAAGTAAAAAGGATATTGCAAAATAATATAATATAGTAGAATCCGAAATAACTATAGATAACTATAACTATATAATTGGATGGTAAAAATCGAGACTTCGCCCTTCCTGCCTGATGAGAACTTTTTAAATAATATCATAAATGATATTATCTATTCTTATTTAAAGATAGCCAAGGATGGCGCACTATAAGCTATATCGCTATATAGTATGAATAAAGAAATCATGAGTCCTTAGTTTAGTTTTTCACATAGGTTTTAGTAATTTTGGTCCATTAGTTCTTGTTGGATTCAAATATAACCTAAAATTATAATTATATTTTGAATAATCAATTTTAATATAACCATACAGAATCTTATAAATATAAATCAAATCTTGTTTAATTCGACGAACTTAGAAGAATCCAGGTTGCACTGTAGAAGTTTTCTTTTATAATTAAAATTGCAATTAGGAGAGAGGCCGTATCAAATATTTTTCAACTATTTCACTTGATTTGCGATATCTCTGGGTGCAACATGTAGTATTGTAGTCAAGAAGATGCCGAAAACGAATGCGTTATACATTTTGATAAAAAAGCTTTCAGTTTTGTTCTTAAACGAACGAAAAGAAAATTTAGTATCTTTGAGGATTTCTTTACTATGATTCTGCAGTGAAGGTCGAAATCGAGATTTTCATCCACGATTATACCAAGATCCACGATTCACGGTTCTGCAGTGAAGGTCGAAATCGAGATTTTCATCCACGATTATACCAAGGAAATGTGTGAGACTCTGCTGATTACATTTCCATTAATAAGATTAGGAAAATCGAACCTTTTGAATTGATATGAAGAACGCTAAATTTCTGAAAGGAAAGGCTAATTTGCCTGTCATGTAGCCAGCTGATCTCCAATTATCTCTCAGACCAAGTCTTCTGGTCAAGCTAATAGCTATTGAAATAGAAATGATAACTGATAATCGCTTATTGTACAATTGGTAAACAATTACTTTCTTCGTAATAATAAGAAATGATAATTTTTAACTAATGTGGTGATTAATAAATGCTTCCCCAAAATTAGATATATTCAATTTTTTATCACCTAAAAATTGGTCAAAATCTTTTATTGGAATAAAGATAGTGAAATTTTTAAGAGTTTAAGAATTTTAATTGTAGGATTTAAGAATTTTTAATAACAAAAAATTCGGTCATATCGATACAATATTATTTTCATAAATTTTAAATTTTTTCATTTTGGGACTGGTGATAAATTCAGAATATTTTTTAAATTTTTATCAGATTTCTTATCTTATTGACAGAAAAGCTTTACTTTTAATAGCGATAAAAAACAATTTATTTTGGGAAAGTAATTAAGAAATATAAAAGATGAGTGATAACTATTTTATCAGTATATTTTGTTTATTCGAAATCGGTCGTATTTGCCAAACTTTTGATAATTCAGAAATAATTCAGAAATATTGATTATTGCATAGTATCGAATGAAAAAATTAATTAAAATTATTATTTAAAAAATATTGTTTCCAAAATTGGAGCAAAAAAATTAATAGCAAATAGGTATTTCAAATTAGAAAATTAAAAACTATGCAAAATAAAAAAATACCAAAAGAAAAAAGTTAAAGGTTAAAGGTTAATAAAAGTTAAAAGATTATGAAAAAAACGATTGTTAGATTTTTTCTTTCAAATACAAAAAGTAATAATAAAAAAATCAAATAAAAACCAAATTCAATACAAATACACTAAAAAGTGATTGATAAAACATGGCAAAATAAA